CGGAGGGAGCGGCCCTGGGGGCGCTGGCGATGCTGGACCACTGCCCGGGGCTCCCTGCTCCCGCTCTTTGTGTGAACGCCTCTCGGGGACCCGCCCTCCTCTTCCCGATTCCGAGGGGTACGGGCGTGGACTCCCCTGGGTCCACCTCGAGAAGAACGGGAGGCCCGCCTTGTGAACATTTAGAAGAGCAGAATCGTTCAGAATATGTCAAGATCTGCCCGTCGGTTGGCTTATGTGTATACATGTAGAAACACTTGATTTTGAAACAAGTCTAAATGTATCTTCTCCATTTACTTTTAAAAATTGAGTTATGAAATATATTTGGCAAGTTGCAGCGCACGAATCTTAAGCTCCCGTTTGTGTAACCTCCACTCAAAAAAATATAGCATAAACTTTTCTAAAAATTTAATATGTTGAATACATCTTCTTACCCAAAATTTTTAAAATGGCTAGCATCGTAATGTTAATGCGAGGGGAAATTATGGTTGTGTTAAAATTAATCCTTGAGGCTCTTGTGCCGAGTTTTGTTTTGTTTTTTATATTTTAAGTGATATACTCCATCTGGCTTCACACACTGTTGGATTGTAGTTGTCATTCCCTAAACCTCTTCAGGTGAAATTTCTAGGTCAGGGGCACTGTAGTAAGACTTTGGTTACCGCCTAATTTATTTCCTAACAAAAAAGTAGCAGTTTATGTAAACGCTTGAAATTATGAGTGCCTCATAGACCCACACCAGCTCTGAATTTGGTATTGACTTTAACCTTCGGAGAGGTGCGAATGGTAGGGTTGTTTAAATTTGTATTTTGAAATCTCAGATATTTTATGCATTTTGCTGTTTTTTGTTTTTTGATTTTGCTTTTCGACTCTGGGGATGCTAAGCAAGTGCTGTGTCACTGAGCTATAGAACCCCAGCCCATTTTATTTTTAAATTTTGTGTCTGATACCTAAGCATATGTTTCCTGTGTACAAATGTTACACGTTCACGTGGACAGACATAAAAACATTCCCTCTGTGTTTGGGCCTTTGACCTTGTTGATGGGGAGGAGCTTCTGTTTCATGAAATCACAAACATATTTGTCTATCATTTAATACGTTTTCTTTATTCCATTATACCTTCTCATTCTTTTCCAGATGGGAAGCCCATACTATAAGTTATTGAATAATTAACTTCATTGATATGAAATGTCACTCTTTTCATATCCTGAATTCTTTTTTTTTTTTAATCTTTTTTTGGTGCTGGGAATTGAACACTGGGCTTCCTGCTAACAAGTGCTCTGCCACTAAATTACACCCCGTGCCCCTGAATTCTTACATACACTTTTTTTTAACATGCAGATTTTTTTTCTGAACTGTTTATTTTGGTAGGATTTTTATTTTTTCTGTTGATCATTTTCCCTTTTAGACTATAACACCCAGGAGGGTAATTTATCTGTTTTATTTAAAGCTCTGCTCACCGTCACTGTTTGAAATGGTGGTCCTTACACCATAGGATGACAATATGTTTGATGAATGAATGGTTTTTTTCATAATACTAGGTTCTCATAACTTTAAAAAATTTCTGGGCAAGTTCTCACACACAAGTATTTTAATTTTAAAATTTGTAATTGACATACTTATTTGTGTGGCATAGTGTATGCAATGTATAATAAAGAAGCCAGAGTAATCAGCATATCTGTGACCTCAAATATTTAATATTTCTGTATATTGAGAATATTAAATTTCTTCCCTCTAGGTATTTTGAAATGTGTATTGTTACTGTTAAGTGTAGTCACCCTACTGAGCTCTAGAACATTAAGACTTATTCCTCTCTATTTGTATTTTGTACCTGATAACCAACCTCTAGCAACTGTATCATCCCTTTTATGGCCTTTGGTAACCACTAGTCTGCTCTCTGCTGCTATGAGATCAATTTATTTAGCTTCCCCATATGAATGAGAACATGTGGTATTTGTCTACATCAGTAGTCCTTTAAAATTTTCCTGGCTGCTGTATAGCAAAATTAAGTTTCAGCCTTTTTTTCATAATTATTTTAAAATGTTTTTACTTAGATATAGGTTCACTAGGATTATGTTAAGTTTATAAACTAATTTCAAAGAAGTGACCATTTAGCATACCAAGATTTTCCTACCCAGGATTACAGCCTGTCTTTTTGTTTTCATTTTTCTTTATATATCTAAATAATGTTAATAAAGCAAACTGTATAAATAAACATTGGCATTTCTTTTTGAAGATACCATGTACTTCTTATCCATGTGTAGGTATTTTTATTGCTGCTGTTACAGAAGTCTCATGTCTCTTGGCTTCCTTTCCTTTTCTTCCCTCTGCTCTGCCTTCTTGGAATCGGCACCTTCCTTAGGAAGGCCCTCACGGAAGGAAAGAGAAGACAATGGCTGCTGGGCCTCTACCTTTGGGAGCTCAGGTGAGCGCATTTTTCTCTCTCAAACCTCTCCTATACTTCCATACTGTATGTGGGATTTACTGCAGAAGATAGGACTCCTGGCATATCAGAATTTGGGTTATTTCTTAGCCCCTGAGTGTCCTTTATTTCTATTCTTAGATGCCAGTGGATAGCCTGGACTGCTGAGTCCTTTATGGTGTACAAAGGTCAGAAAGGAGATGAAAGTCTTATTGTTTCCATGAAGCATTTTCCCGTTGGTGATGCTAGAAATAACAGCATTAACAATGTCTACCATAAACCTGACGGGGTTACAATTTTGCGTGGTTTCCTGAAAGTTCAAATAGAGTAAGTGAGAAGTGTTTAACTTAGTTCCTAGACTGTAGAAAATACTGAGTAAGCGGTAGGAATCCTTAGTATTCCAGCCAAGAGCTTGGGTTTCAGAGGTCCTTGGTAGGGTAAGTGCAGCAGTGACTGACGGTCAGGCATGCTGGGCTAGACTGGACGGAATCAAACAAAGTTTGGGATCAAGTGCCAGCCAAGAAGAGTTTGGTGAATTGGTATGCATGCAGATGGAGGGGGGTATCTTAGAAATGAGTCCCCTTTAAAAGGAATTCTGGTGAGGGAATTTGCATAATGAAAGCTTTTCTAGGAAAAACCAGTGTCTGTTAGAGGAAATTAAGGAACTGAAATCCTAAGTGAGAAGCCCAGATCCTCCTCTCC